AGTTTAAGAGTTAGTAGCTGTGTGCAGATCAAGTTTAGAGTTAGTAGTTGTATGCAGATCAAGTTTAGAGTTAGTAGCTGTATGCAGATGAAGCTCCTAACACAGCCAGAATCGAATCTATTACAATCTAACTTTACAGCACAGGGTTTCAGTGAGTGAGATTGAGGAGTAAAAGGTCACACATGGGGTCCAAGTGAAAAACAGAAACAGAGGGTCAAAACACATCATGACAGATCCAATTATAGCTAAGTCTGGAAGAAAAGTAGAAAAGAAAGCAAAACATAATATCCATTAGAATTGAAGGTGAAGTAGAATGGAGATATACTGATCTGTTGTAATGGATTAGTTGGTAGCCCTGCTGTCAGATGTAAATCCCACAGCAAAAGACTTGACTACATAATCTCTGTGATGGCACTTCTCTGCAGTAGTGAGGGAATTCTGTATTGTTGCAAGTGGCATTATTAAAAATGAGATAGTGAGGTGTTAAACCAAGGCCCCAGCAGGCTGTCAGGTAAATGCACAAAATCATCCAAAGGTACCATTTGAAGAATTGAACAGCTTTCTTGGTGTCTTTTCCTACTTATTGTTCAATTGGCATCACAAAACAGATTATCTAGTGATTTATTTTATTGCTATAGGATCATGCCTTCTAAATTACAGAAGGGATTGCAGGAGTATTTGATTATATGAATAAATGCATAGGGTTGGTCTTAGCTTGTAAAGGGCACAGTAAAAATACAATTCTTTCCTACCACAAAATTTTAAAACAGGAGAAAGAGAGGACCATGAAGGTCTTCAAAACATGTTATCATGGTTGTCTCTAGAGCTTTGGGACTACCTTCCAGCAAACATCCTCAAGATTTTCCAATTTAGTGGCCATTTTGCCCAGTGATAGAGACGGCACTGGGAAAGGATGAACAAAGATTTCAGTCAGCTGAAAGTAAGAACAGCGACAAGAAAATTGTGTGATGTCAAAATGTCCTCAGAAAATGGGGTGGCATGGTGGCTCAGTGGTTAGCACTGCTGCCTCACAGTGCCAGGGACCCGGGTTTGATTCCATCCTCAGGCGACTGTCTGTGCGGAGTTTGCACATTCTCCCCGTGTCTGCGTGGGTTTCCTCCGGGTGCTCCAGTTTCCACCCACAGTCCAAAGATGTGCAGGGTAGGTGGGTTGGTCATGCTAAATTGCCCATAGTGTTCAGGGATGTGTAGACTAGGTGGGTTATAAGGGGACAGGTCTGGGTTGGATGCGCTGAGGGTCAGTGTGGACTTGTTGGGCCAAAGGGCCTGTTTCCACCCTGTAGGGATTCTATGAAAATATTTCACCTTCTCAGTAAAACTCAGGGCATGGGTGGGAGGGAAATCACAATGGTGCAAAACACTTTTACTTTTCATTTCTCACATTTTAATGGATTATTTCCAGAAAGCAATTGGACAAAAAAAATGCAGTGAGTCTCGAGACCAACATGTCAGCTCACGATTTGAACATCAGGCAGAAAATTCAACAAGCAGTCTACAGAAACTGCAAACAGCAAACAGAATCTATTTCAACACAATGTGGAGCTGGAGGAACACAGCAGGTCAGGCAGCATCA